GATCCTGTTCGTCACCCGATCCGGCGTTCGCGAACGGAGGCAAAATTTTGCGAACGGAGCTGTTCGTGAACCAAATTGGTCGTGAACAGAAGCGTTCGTGACCCGAGGTACCACTGTATCTCTAATGGGCCTGATTTTGGTTGAACATTATAAGAAACATCTTAATATTAAAAAGGGCTTGAGAAACCTTTCAGGACCTGGGCATCTCCCCCCCCCACCCCCAGATAGACAGACACAGACAGACAAACAGATAGATTTAGTTGTAATGTTGAATTTGGTGGGGCACAGATGCGCTTTGAGGTACTGGTAAAGCTCTGGTGCCCCTGGGCATAGTATTACTAGCCCTACAGTTCAAGCAGGAATGCAGCCCATTGGAGACCAGGGTGCCAGTTCTGCGTTGGATCAAATGTGTGGTTCCGTGACCTCCCTCGCTTTCCACCGTGCCCTCAGTACGAAGAAGAATGGAAGCAGGCTTTCTTCCCAGGCCTCCACTGCCCCCCAACCCCCCTTTGCCTGGAGACGGACAAGGGAGCGTTCAGGACCGCCCATGGGCTGCCAAGTTCACCGAAGGCTCCTGCCCCCCTCAGTGCCAAGAGCCTCCCAGCCCTTTGCCACCCAAACGCACGAAGCAGCTGGGGAGACCGGCGAGCAGGGGGCCGTGGGGGAAAACTGCTACGAGTGGGTTGCAGGTTCACGAAAGCTGCAGGTTCAGCGCCAGGGAGACCTCTTGGGTTTCCTCAGGTGGAGGCTACCCTGGGAGAGCCCCCGGCCACATTAGCTTGCTTTCTGCCTGGACAAAGGGCCGTGGGCCAGATGGCCACTGCCAAAGTTGGGGATCCCGTGAAGCTGCAGCTTTTTCTGGGCAAGAGAAAGGTGGTGATGGATGCAAAAGGAACCCTCTCGAGTACTTTCTGGCTGCGACTCACGGCCGGCTGCTTATCTTGCTGCAGGCAGCGCCAAGAAGTCACTGAGCCAGAGAAAAATGCCTCCCTGGGGGAGCTCTGATGTTGTCTACAAAAAGGGGGGTTGATAAAAGGAGCGGCTGCTGCAGCTGTGGAGGGCAGCGGGGGGAAGGTCAGGAGTTGGCACCGGAGACAGCCACAGAGCCAGGCCTCTCTCCCCTGCCCCCATCTGGTACTCCTTTGCAAGGAAATAAGTGCATTTCTTCCTCTGAATTGCTCTCTTGATTTGCAGAAAAGGGAAGAAGCAGGACCCGCTTTCCAGAGGGGCCTCTGCATGTTGGAACCCGCCACACACAGAGATTTTCCTCTCCTTGTGAAAGACAGAGAGCGGCTGTTCCCCACAGCTTGCCAGGAGGAGCACCTTTTAACTCTTCTAAAAGCCAACGATGGGAAGCTGTTTTCTGGACCTGGGAGACCCTTCCCAACTCCCAGCCCTGCCCAGTGAGTCCCTGGGGCCTGGAGATCCGACACGACCCCAGAGCATTTCTGCCTGCCTCTGTTTCCCCTTTGGCCTCGGATGCGGAAGCGAAGGAACGTCCATCTTCCTCGGTCCAGCCCCAAATGTTCGCAGCAACTGCCCCCGAAGCAGGCCCCAGAGGCCCATCGCAACACCCACGGAGGGTGGGGGGCGGGGGACGCAGGCAGCTCCCAAAGACCTCGTCCCTCACTCTGGCAGCCGCCTCCACTGCCTGCAAAGGTTGGGGCACCTCCCATTTCCCGTGGGGGACTGGCCAGCCGTCGGCTTTTGCTCTTCTGAGTAAGACTGGACTCTGGGCATGCTGGTTCCCAGGCCA